TTTAATTTGAATGGTATTTTCGAAAACAACTCACTATAGAGGTTATTTGGGCAAAATATGAAGAAATCGAAAATTTCGCGACTGTCATCTCATCCTCGGTATTTATAGTAACTGGCTCTTAAGACGGTCACAAAATGACAAAGATTACAAGATTTATTTATTTCTTTTATTTATTACATTATTTTGCTTGCTTTAATTTTTTGCCGAAAAATGTCGATGCAGAACAGTTTTGTTCCGCTTCCTAACTGAATAAATGAATTAATTGGTTAAAGTAAATTAACTCACTAATTCATTTAATAGTTAATCAAATGAGTGATTTGCCTTGCACTGATGTCGACAGGATTGTCCAAAATTTTCGCAGCAGTGAACTGTCAAGACCTCAAGCTGAAAGCGCCATCACTCGTGTCAGGCGTCTATTGGACAGACCCAGATGGTGGTTCCCATGTCAATGCATTCCAGGCCTACTGCGACCAACAGACGGACGGTGGAGGCTGGACACTAGTTTGGAGTTACACCTTTACATCTTACTCTAGTTTCAGTAGTAGCGCAAATGCTGTCACGCCGCGTCCAAGCTGGACAGCCAGTGGAGCTAACACTCGAGTGTCTACAGCAGTTCCACTGAGTGAAACACATTACGAGGCCATGAACTTTGCTTTGTGGGGTACCATTGGTAAAGAATTCCTGATCAAGAGTAACATCAACAACTGGATCGCATGCAAGGAAGGCCGCACTGGCAGCTTTGTGCAACAGAAGACGGGATCAATCACTTGCAAAGTGGTAAAACAGGTTTCTAAGCAGTGTGCTGATTTGGTGCCAAAATCGTTGGAGCTGCACTCCCAAGGACCGTATCTCTCCAGCAGCAGCTACTACCATTACTTTGATGGTAGCACAAGTAGTAGTTGGCCTGTCCATGATCCATGTGGAAAAGCACAAGTAAATCAGTTAAAAGATGTGGTTAATCCACACGGAAATATTTTTGCTCGTTAAAAGTTCAGTTCTTTTCAAGTTTGTCATAAAGGCAAGGCTATTTAAGAAGGTTCTTATGGGATAAGGTGATTACTCAAAAAAATTAAAAAGGCACATGTAATTGACTGGTGAAAAATAAATGCATTCATTCACCTTCACCCATGTCTTTCGTGACCTAGGTGTCACATAAGGCCACAATTTTTTATGCGTATGCATGTCGGTTTAAAACTAAGTTAATCATAAAACACTTGTCAATCTTTTATAGAAAACGGCTAAAAACCCAATAAATATGTGGTTTTATGATCAGTTTGGAAATCAGTGTGTGTATTGATTCCATCCAATCTGTATTCGTCTTCCTCTCAAAAGGTTTTTGTACTCAGTTTGCAAACGCTAAAGGCTTTGTGTTGAGTGATATCATATCCCTTGCAAAACAAAATGCTACGCTGTTCTAAATCTGAATTGGACCCAAAGAATCTCTTATTTCCTGCATGCAGAAAAGGGAATTTCTCTCATTCACGTTTTGGGAAAGACCGTGTTTTTTTTTCCGGGAAGTTTCTCGCAAGACATTTCGCTTTTGTTTTTACTTTCTTTCTTTTTCCCTTTTATACGGTCCATCTTCTCCTCGTTCTTAGATTTCAGATCCGCAAAACTTCGTCTCGCAAACCTCTTTCTTTTCACAGCTACATCGATCGTCTGATTTACCAATCCTCGAACTTTTTAATTTGCGTTATTTACCCTGAAGTTTTTCAACTGGGCCTGACATGGTAGAAAAAGCCAGTAGTAGCCTTTTGATTTGACTTGGGAACTTTGAAGGCACGTTAATTGGAACTGTTTTAGAATCCTGACCAACAAGACTGTACATGACTACATAGTACAGAACGAGAACGATACATAGAACATTGAAAGCGCTAACCTAATTAAGAAAGTTGTCCCGTCCAAAATCATGATATCTTAGCTTTGAAATTAGCTCAGATGTACAACATCTTCCAAAACATGTTTATGTTACGCAATACAACTAAATACCAGAATTTCCGAAGATCAGATGTTAGGGAAAATTTCATAAGCGTACCGTATACATCTTGATCAGCTAAAGGTCAATCTCTTTCAGTATCCATGTCGCATGATCAGTGACAATTAAGAAGCTCGTGTGCATTTGAGGAATGGTGCCAACCTTGTTCCCAGGATCTCTCTTTTTCCTGCCTCCTGGAAGAAGAGAGATCCTGAGAACGAGCTACGAATTTTGCCGGCAATCTATTATAACTTTTTTGACAAACGCTTTCCGTAGTCTTGAAAAAGCCTGACACATTAATCGATTTATATGCCGAAGGGCAAGCTCAGCTAACCTTGCTAGCTGGATAAGTTCCGGTGCAATGCAATACTTATTTACTTATATCGTAAATGGCACCCGGAAAGCACCTGATGTCAAGAAATCACAAATCGCACAGTCATACAAGAATGGGACATTACATCATCTGACTATTTAACAATTATTCGCCAAAGGCCAAAGGCGAGTGAATATTCACAATGTTCAATGAAACTGAGGAGAATAATTGTTTTAGTATAATTTTCAGAGGACTACAAAAATAACAGACTAAAGCATAAAAACACAGACCTACTTGTTCGTTTGCATACACGTATGCAGCCGCATTTATACTAATAAGCTTACATATACATAGCCTGATTCTCAGACGTCCGAGGTCGTTCGCGGCCACTTCGCTTCCCCTCTCTTCCTAGCTGTGAGGGAGAGAGGGGAAGCGAAGTGGCCGCGAACGAACTCGGACGTCTGAGAATCAGGCTAACATGTACATCGATTGTCAATCAATTTACTCATCGAGTTAGGCAGTGAAACAAACGAGCGAAACACTACGAAAAATAAATTCATCCGTTACCTTTGTTTTATGGTTGTTGACTTCATTCACCAGAAAAGTTTCAATGTAATGGAAAACTTATATATTGATATCCCGAATGGCTCCGGGAAAGCGCGTGATGGGAATCATGAGACAAAACTCCATGTCTGCTCTTTGACATCCAGGATTTGATCAATACCGGTGTCTCATGACAATTCCAAGCTGCCAGCCATTCAGGAATATTCTAGATGACTTCAGTGTTAGACCGCTTCAAGTGAACTGCGTTGGCATGCCCCAAACACATACTTTCACACTTTGAGTCGACCAGCCTGAGAATTTGTACGAATTCAAAACTCCAAAATGCTTCTCAACATTGGTTTGGCTTTGTGTTTCTTTTCCAGCAGTTTCTCAACAGCAAGGTAAGACAGAAACTGAGATGCAGTTATAGCGACGCTTTCTCCAGTTAAAATAATCTCAGTTGGAAACTCGATCCCACATCAGCTCACATCCAGTCAGGGTTTGTTGACTGTATAGCCGGCTTTAAAAGTAGCTTCTGGTCTTTCGTTAGTTTAAAACTGTTTGGCTCTAATTGGTTCAGGAGAACTGAAGCATATTATTATTCGTACGTTAAGGAACTGAGCAGCAAAGTTATTCAGATCTCAACTTTATTTGACGCGTGAGCTGCGTTAAAGTGGCGTTAGTCATAACGTGATAATTGTTTTCGGTCGAGCCAATCTAAGGGGCAAAAAGACAAATTCCTCGTTCATCTGTAATTTCAAAATGGTCATGCATGCTTTGTCAATTTCGTAAACTTTTACGTAATTCCTATGACGAAAATCCGTCCTTATCATGCTAATCGACATCCCAACAATCCAAGAAATGTGAATAATTTTTTTAAGCGTTCTGAAAATCACTTAAATATCGTAACTAGATATGTTTTCTTTCGCAACAATATCTTTGGCCTTTTCAGACCTCTGTGGAGTGGAGAATGAAAGGAGGAGTGTTTCAGAAAATGACGATTTAACATTGTGCTGAAGTTTTTCTTATACTAATCATAAAAAACGTTTTAGTGTATGAGGCACTTGCAGCGTTGTATTTGGTCAGTTAAGGCTGGGTAACAGCGAGCGCTTTCACGACTCAACACAAAGCCGCGCTTACTGACTAAGGAAGTGACCCCTAAGATGCTGAGCCTGCAGAATAGGTTGTTCAGCGGGTACAGTCTCAACGCCGACTGTGGTACTTCGGTGCCCTGAGGTGTTTTCATACGTCATTGTGATTCCAGTCAATCATTATGAAATGAAAGCCAGCAAGGATTGAAAAGAATGAAAACCTTTGATTACTAATTGAGATTATCTCATAAATAACAAATTCGTACCAAATTTATAGACATTTTCTTTCTCTTTCTCTAGTGGGCTGAACCTGCAAAAATACAAGGTGTTGGAAATGGACAACAACGGAACTCTCTATCTTTACAGATCTTCACTGCTATGTGTGAACGAGATCATCAAACGACTGACTGAAGGAAAATACCAGCTGGCTGAACCGAACAGGTTACTAGGTTAGGCAACGCATGCAATCAATCAAGCACGAGCATCAAGTCAACAGGACCCTTTAATTTACATCAGTATTAATGTTTAAATATTTTCTTATTAGACTAATTAATAGATTGAGCAAGCTTTTCTTCTTAGTTGGAATATTTCGTTACCTTCTGCCCTATAAAGTCGAATAGGCCTCAAATATACTCTTACAAGTTAAGATTTTTCGATGATGGTAAGCTGTAAAAAAACAATCGATTCAGCTCTATAATTAATATCCCCTCAGATCGAGTTATAAGAATGTAAATAAAGATAAGTTATTAATTGAATAATAAAAAAAATCAATTGTTGAAATAAATTAACTCTTTAATTCATTTATTAATTGATTAAATGAGTTTTTTGCCTTTAACTGACAGGACTGTCCAAAAACTTCGCAGCAATGAACTGTCAAGACCTTACGCTGAAAGCGCCATCACTCGTGTCAGGCGTCTATTGGATAGACCCAGATGGTGGTTCCCATGCTAACGCATTCCAGACCTACTGCGACCAACAGACGGACGGTGGAGGCTGGACACTAGTTTGGAGTTACACGTTCACTGCTTACTTAAGTTTCACAAGTAGCGCAAACGCTGTCACGCCGCGTCCAAGCTGGACAGCCAGTGGAGCTAACACTCGAGTGTCTACAACAGCTCCACTGAGTGAGACACATTACGAGGCCATGGACTTTGCTTTGTGGCGCACCATTGGCAAAGAATTCCTGATCAAGAGTAACATCAACAACTGGATCGCATGCAAGGAAGACACTGGCAGCTTGGTGCAACTGAAGGACGGGTCAATCACTTGTAGAGTGGTTAAACAGATTTCCAAGCAGTGTGCTGGTGCGGTGCCGAACGTGGTCCGTTTTTACAACAGGGGACCGGGTCTCAACCGAGGCAGTCACTACTACTACTTCGATAGTGACACGAGTAGTGACTGGCCTACCCATGATCCATGTGGAACAAACGCGGCAAATCAGTTAAAAGATGTGAGTTATCCACATGGAAATATTTTTGTTCGCTAAAGAGTTATTAGTAACCGCTGACTTCATTAAAAACCTGCTTTTTGAATTGTTTTAATGGCTTTAATATACAAAAGTAAATACTTAAGGCATTAATTAGTGTAAGCGTAAACACAAGTCTTAAATCTGTTAGAAGAACAATTGTTTTTGTAAGACCCAGTAAAGGAAACGGAATGTTATTTCGGTTTAATTTCATTTTGAATACGTTTCACAGCATTAAAGGTCATCTTGTGACGTCATGGCGAAACGTGACATACTTACTACGCCAGGAGTTAAATGTTTTCATCGGATGACAATGTACAACCACAGGTATCTCAAGCTCCTGTCGAGCCGTGAACATTACTATGTAACATTGCGTAACAGCTTAAATATAAGAGTTTGTATGGAAATGTAATGATTCTATGTGACAGTTCGAAATATGGAGAAGAAATTGAATCAAAGGAGACCTATGGCCAAACTCGTGGATTAGGTAATCTAGAATTGAAACATATTGGTGAACTTGCAATTACTGGTCTATTATCAAATGCTGTTAAAACAAGCCGGGTTTGTACCATGCAAGGTCGCAATTAACTCACAAAGTGTAGGCTTTTTTCGTTGGCTTTTTTTTTTTTTTTT